TTGGCAATCAGAGAAAGATTTGTTTTGGTTGAAGCTAGGAAAATTTTTGTATTATGTGCAAAATAAAAATTGAAACACCTTAATAACTTTCGATTTAATGATTGGATTTTCACATACTAAGAGGCATTCATAATTGTTCAAGAGATTAACCTTAAATAAGTATAAATATTTGTGCTGATGATATTTTAATTTACGAAATCAGACTTTTTTTTAGATGTGGAGGACATGTTTTGTCTCTCAAAATAAAGATAGTTGAAGCAATCTTAAAAATGTGGTCTCAATAGTTTAATGAGGACACTATTTAAAAGTTTAGGCCCCTTAATGCTTTACGTTTTGCATATTCCATCATGTATCCAGTATCCATCATGCATTTTTTACTCTTCCTTCTTCAACCACGTCAGCATTAGGTTTACTTTAATTTCCAGTGAACTTTTTGACCTTAAGACTCGCATACAATTTATTATATTGCATACAATTTATTTCATTTTCAACATATCTTGTCGGCAAATGTTTGTAAAGCATCACCTACTTATCCTGAACTGTGAAGTCTGAGTATTACATTCTATTACTTTTCATTTTTGCCGTAATCAACAAAATTCCTTCTACTTCTATTCGTCACCCACACCAACTGCAAAATTATCTTCATAGTAAATCATTCTGAGCAACGGCAAAATATTTCCTTAAATTTGTGATTTTTCGTGGAATATTAATTATTTAAAAAATCAAACATTACACTTTTTCAACCTGGAAACTCAAGATACAGTATATACAGTATACAAGATACAGCATTTGCACTTTGTGTAACGTAACAATTTACTCTTTTATTTATATCTAATCCTTTAATTTTCTTAAACCTTTAATTCATTTTTTATATAGCAGTTTACATTTATTTTAACTTTCTGTTTGACCTTCCTCGATAGCCAACGTGGTCATTGCACTTCCTATGGGGAGAGATACCCCTCTATTCCCATCTTTCTTTTTTCCTCATTAATTTTTTTAAGGGAAGCTAACTTAATCAATCCCTTTCCTTTGACTTTCAAACTCTACTCCTCTTTAAATTTAATTGGCTATCACTTCTCTGGTTCTACTCCAGTTAAGGAGTTTTTTTAGACGCTTTTACATTCTCTCTCATGCATGTTTACTTAATGACCTCTCCTCTTTCTCCGAGATGCGGACTTTGGTCCGTATCGAGGGAATAAATTCCTTTTCCCACATCCTTTTTTTTGACTTAAAATAAGAATGTAAAATCTTCAAATCCCTCTGTAAATTAATGTTCTTTATATCTACCCTTTTATGCCTTAGAATTTTCTTTGAAAATCATAATTTCTTATAAATTTAAATGATTTTCTAGTATTTATCTTCTCATCACCCTTTAAATCTCTTTCTTTTGTATCTATATAATGTAATACCTGTGATTGCGTAATTTTAATAAGATTTCTAAATTACTCTTTTTGGCACCCATTTCTCAGCAAAAACCTTAGCATTTGCTAAAAATAATTTACCTAACTTACATATTCAATTATCTGTTTTTGTCTGTGGATGCGTGAATTAGAAAATTAATAAAAGATTCTGTTGTTCTTCTATGACTTCTTATTTAGTGTGATTTTTATCAAATTTTCCTGTATCGGGTGAGTGCATTTTGTCATTTTCCCATTTGGGCATGCGTTCGTTTATTTAGTTGGAAACATTAGATCACCATATCAAATGTTTAGCTTGTATCTGGATATAGCATGTCATTGTTTTATTTATTTTTTATCTTCGTTAATTTTTGTTTTTACCCTTATTCCAAATTTGGTGATACCAATTTAACAAATTTTTTCAAACCTCACACTTTGTGACCTTTTGAACCTATTGGGTTATTGTTATCCCACGATAGCTTTGCACTACCACTTTCCTTAATGATCACATTCCCCTTAATTTAATTACTTTTTATACTATTTTCGGCCTTAATTTGTTTGCTTATGAAATTCAATAATTACCTGTTTTTTAATCATGACTATATCCAAATACAAGTACATATACATAATTTTAATTTATTATCTATTTTTTAAATATAAATAAATTTACTTTAATTCGCACCATTAATATATGTAATTTTCAAATGTAGCAGTATATCCATAGTTAATTAAGGGAATAAAAGTATTACAAAATTTTAAAGCAGTACTCATAGTACATTTTATACACACATTCGTAATTTCAAGTATCTCAGGTTTTGCACAGCAGAACAAAATGTAAATACAGCAAACAAACAAAAAAAGAGAAATTCTCAAACCATTCAAATAACTTTCTGAAAAATTGAATTTTGGAGAAAAAAATTAAAACTCATGCAAAGTTTATAAGCGAAAAAGGTTTTTTTCAACACTTCTTTTTTTAACTTTATAATTGCATTTCCGTGGCCTGTAAAAGAGACCGATATGGTATTTAATAATACGAGTTTGTATTATAACAAACGAGTATATAATACGAGTTTGTATTATAGCACGAGTTTGTATTGTAACATCAGTTAATAAGTTTTATTATATTTTTTATTCCAAGCTTAGATTTTTTTTTAAAAAAAGTTTCATTGTTTTCCATTAGAATGCTTTCCCTTTTTTGTTTGTATATGAATTATCTTTTAGAATTATTTCTAACAAAGTTTTCTGTTTAATTGAAAATTAAGTTTAAAATTAAAAATGTTTTCCTCTTAACACCTTGCATCGAAGTAGAAAAGAATATCCTACACATTATGTGATTAACTAATTATATCTTTTGACTTTTTTAAATTAAGCATCATTTCTGTTGAAAAAAATAGCTTTAAGTTATAAAATATGTTTTTGTAATTTAGTCAAAATAATATTTAAAATCCTGTGTTATTTTTAGGGAAATCAGAATTTCTAATTTTTTAGGTACTCCAAGTGTGTATGCGGATTTCAGAATTCTTAATTATTATTTTTTTGATTGATGATTACAATTGGTGATTGTGCAAGGGGTAGAATAGTTTTCAAAAATGCTGTTGAGACTCCTATATATTTTTATGTTGTATATCTATTTTTTATATACTTAAATTTTACAAAGTTAAACATGTAAATAAATATTTACCTATTTTGAGCCTCTTGAGTAGGAAATAAATAGTTAATGAATTCATGTAAATTATATTGAGGATTTATTATAACTTTATGAGAAATATGGAAAAAAACTAGCAGAGAGTTTAATCATTTAACTGATTAAGTATTTGTGATGCCTAAAAAACATATTTGTCCAACTCTTTTTCCTGTTAAATATTCAAAATACCCACTTGATATCAAAAGATCAGTGTCGGAGAAAAAATTCTGCACAAAAAGCACTCATTTTAGTTATGATAGTTGAGAAATGGACAAGTTTACTCAAAATAACTACAAAATGTTGCGAAAGTTTACTTTCTAAATTTTGTCGTTTGTGCGCTGCTCTTTTCTTTGCAACTCTTACTTCTTTGCACAAATATTAATTCTTTAAAATAAGGTACTACTTACAACTTAAGCATTAATGACAAAAAAACATTTCATCAATATAGGAGCGAGGTCATGGACTATTAATGAGTGCCTAAAGCAATAGAACACTTAATCAAGATCTATTTATCATTGACTTTTTTTTTGAATCCAAGATTATTGACACAGCTCGTTAATGCCCAAATATTAATTCTTTAAAATCTTTTTTTTAATAAAATCAGAATAAAATAGATTTTTCATTATTGAAATTTACTTGATTATGAACTTGAATTATTTTGTATTAAATTTGTAAATGAATCACTTGTGTTTCTTTGTATTTCAAGTTACCAAACAGCTATAGAATAATTTATCTCTTATATTGTTATGAGAAATGTGCGGATTTAAGACACTATCCTTAAAAAAGTGCATTTAAAATTTTCGTCCCTTAAAACATTTTAACAATTGTTTACAGGTGTAAAAAATCAAGAGAACTTTTACTGCTTAAATTATTACACAGTATTATTATGCTACTATTATATCAGTATTTTTAACAGCTAAAAGAACATAATTGTAGCTGAGATTTGTTAAATCTCCTACTTTCTGAGAGTTGAGAGTATTTTATAGTTTTTAACTTGATTTTTGTGTTAACTTACTATTTTTTACATATCTATTTAGTTTTTTCTTCTCAATTTGAGAAAAAATTACTATTAATTTTTGAATAACACTTGGGAAATTAAAATTTTATGTTATTATTATATTTATGTTATTATAAATGCAATTATTAAAGAGTCTTACGTTTTCGAAAATGAAAGATTCTTAAGTAATAGTGCTTCTGTTTTATTAATATTAAGTAGTGTTGTAATTGAGATTATTTAATCCATACTTTCTCTGTTTGCTGTACATTTTCTCTGTATAATGCTTGATCCTTTTGTAGATTTCAGCATATTTTATTTATAATTATTAGTGTGGTGTGATCATGGGATCAACACAATGTTTACTTTCCCTAATACCTACTGGGCTGTCTTCAACAGGAGCGCCCTCTTCCTTGCCTTTGCAAGATTTCTAGGGCTCGACTCCTAGCTCGTCTTTAGAGATTCTTGCAACCGCTAGGGAGGGGACGCTATCTTTTGGAAATAGACCAGTAGGTATTAGGGAAAGTAAACATTGTGGTGATCCCATGATCACACCACTATTAGTAAATCATTTTGAATTTGAATTGTGTTCTCCGAGAAATAGTTATTTACTTCATATTCTCGCTACAATAAAACTTATTTGTTTTAAGTTTTAAAAGACTTAGTTTTTTTATGTCATGCCGTATTTATGAAAACTCAATCTTTTTCAGGCTTTTAAAATGAGGAATTTTTTGATGGCTTGAAATATATATAATTTTTTTTATTATCAAAGGTGGTCTTGATTTGTAGATTTGCATCTATTTTTTTTATATTCAATGAAAAATTATTTATAGAAAAGAATTTGGTAGATTTATCGTAGTTACAAAGAATGAGTTGTGTTTTGCATCCACATTCCACTGCATGTTTGAAAATACAAGCTAGCATGAAAATTTAGATAAGTTTATTCAAATAAATATTTATAATTAGTTTATCGTGGCTCTATTTTTAATCCTTGTTTTTTGGGTTCGAGACCTATACCAAGTATTCCGTCGAAATCTGGTTTTTTTCCTGGTGGCATTGATATCTTGTACTTTTGTAATATAGCCGTGAAGTAAAGGAAAAGTTCGACTTCTGCTAAAGGTTTTCCTGGACAGGATCGCTTGCCTGAAAATAAAATTTAATTTTTGGTTAGTTACAATTAGAATAAGACCATTCTAAAGATTTGTGCAACCTATTAGGTAAAATGGTATTTGCCTAAAAATCTATTGAAAATACTAGCAGTTTTAACAATGTTCAAGGTTGATGATAATTTATTTTAATTATATTTGACTGCCATTTCATACTAGACGTCAGCCATACTAAAGCTGAAATAATGCATCTGTTATGACAATTATACTAGAGCTGGAAATAATTTATTTAGCATGTCAATCCTACTAGGACTTAAAATAGTGTGTTATATTGTTTATCTTTATTTGCAGGAGAATTATCCTACCAAATTTTGACATTCAATGACGCCTAAAAAAGCCATATAAGAATTGTCTGTATGTTACAGCAAGATATGAAATTTAACAACTTTTGAAAATTAACAATGTCTTTATTTTTGAAATCTTACAATATCATTATTTTTGAAATTTAACAATTTCATGATTCTTTTCTATTAAATTAGTTGGGCAAAATTCACTGAATATTTTTTCAGAAAAAAACTTTTTATCTTAATATATATATATATTATACATATATAGTGAAACCTCCTGTTATGGACACTCCTGCAAAACGAACGCTTCTCAATACGAGCATATTTTTAAATCCCCATGAATCTTCTATGAATTAAACATTATGTACATTATTTTCGTTAATTTCTATCTCTTCAAACCGGACACTACTTTTTCTAAATTTGAAAAAAAAAAAACATTTCTGTTTTAAATTACAAGAAAAATACTTTGCAACTTTTCATCATTTTTAAAGCAAGTAAATTTTTTGCCTTATCTGAGACTAAAAATATTTTTAAGCTATTTCACTAGTATAGAATCAATCTCTCTCCCCTGTCATCTCTTTATCTCGGCGAGGAAAGGTGAGAAAATGATAGTACTCCTGCAGGAAGGAATTAGGAAAAAAATTGGTTATTACTTTACTTTTATTGCACCTACTTAATACTTTAGTTATTGATTATAAGGCAATAAATAAATTCAGTACTGAGTTCAGTATTTCAGTACTAAGTTAATTTTTAATGCTATTTAATTAGTTCTAAGTTTAATGAGATTGTATTAAGGATGAGTGGGTGCACGCTTAAAGAAATATTAGAAATTTTTTTAATGGGTATGCATCAGTTAAAAAAAATATTCATAAAAAATTTTTTCTTTTTATATTCCTCGTAATAGGGTTTTAGAAAAAAAGGAGATAAATAATTCGAATGAAATTCTTTATGTCCTCTCTATCTCTGTCAACATGCACTGCATATTATTATTTTTTTCGAAATAAAAATTATAGTTTATTCTTTTACCATTACGTACCTGTAGAAAAAGGAATGAAGTATTCTGGTTTTATCACTTTTTCACCGTCTTCACTTAAAAATCGTTCAGGTTTATAATCATTAACATCTTTTCCCCAAAGAGTTTCGTCATGGTCTGGAACATACAAGACTGCTAAAACATGCATATCTTTTGGAATGAAATAGCCTTTCAATTCTGTATCTTCCAAGGTGCTAAAACATAAATACAGAGAGAAAATAAAATCACATAAAAGATAATTTCTGACTCACTACTATATAACTCTTTATGTAGTAATTCCAACATACTGGAGCTGATTTCTTGACAATAGAGCACTTCTTATTGCGGTGCATTATATTTTTAAGGAAACTATTATTCATCATTAATCAACTCGTTTTTTTTATTATCCACAACTTGATTAGGTCGTTACCTATAAAAAGCAATCGGGGGTTCACTAAAACCATATTCAGAGTGTTCTTCAATCATATTCCTTAATACACGAATCCTTATCAAAATTGAAGTTAAACTATGCACTTGAGTTGTGAATGAGTAACCAAGTGATTGAAAATCAGATAAATAGCTAGTAAAGAAGGCGGTACTAAAAACGTTAAAACTGATTTGGCGGTGGATTCCAACCTGAAGTTGTTTGCAAGCAGTTGTTTTCTCTCTCTTACTTTCCTCCAGGAATAACTTAGTTTTTAACTTTCTCGTTTATTATCCCTTATATTGATCCATAAGATTCTCTCTCTCTAGATTTATAAGACAAGGTTCTCTTTATAATGGAAAAACATTTGACTCTCGACTTAGCATTCCAACTAAATCCAATATTACAATAACTATAACTATATATATATAGTCCCTTAAAACATTTTAA